AACAACAAAAAAACCCCAAAACTACCAGAAGAGAATAAATTATAAAGAGTAGAACTGAAATAAATGAAATAGAGAATAAAAGAACTATACAATAAAAATCAACCAAAATTGACAAATCATTAATTAGCTTAATCAAGAAAAATAGAAAAAAAAATCAGATAAACAAGTTCAGGAATGAAGCAGTTACAAAGACATATTAGAAATACAAATAATTATGACAGAATATTATGAGTCATTTTTTTGCCAACAAACTAGAAACCTGGATGAAACGAAGAAATTTCTGGACACATACAAGCTTCCCCGATTGAACTAGGAAGAAATAGAAAGCCTGAATAGATGAATAACAAGCAGTGAGACTAAATCAGTAAAAAATAGTCTCCCAACAAGGAAAAACCCAGGTCCCCATGGCTTCCCTTCTGATTTTATAAAACCTTTAAAGAAGAGTTAACCAAAATTCTCCTGAAGCTATTTCTAAAGATCCAAAAGGAAGGAACCCACCCAAATTCATCCTATGATGCCACCAGCATTTAGATACCAAAAGTAGACAAGGACATAACAAAAATGAAAACTACTGATCGAGATTCCTGATAAGCACAGATGCAAAAATCCTCAGCAAGATATTAGCAAGTCAAATCCAATAGCACATTAAAAAGATTACACATCAAAACTAGGCAGGTTTTATCGCTTGGATATAAGAATGGCTCGAAATATATAAAACAATAAGTGTAATAGATCACATTAACAGAAAGAAAGATTAGAACCATATCATATTAACTGATGCAGAAAAAAGCATTTGCTAAAATACAATATCCTTTGATGGTTAAGAATCTCAGCAAAATAAATCTAGAAGGAATATTTTTCAACATAATAAAAGTCATATGACAAATCCATTGGTAACATCATACCGGATGGAGAAAAGCTGAAATCTTTCTCACTAAAAAGTGGAACAAGATAAGATTTCCCACTTTCTCCACTCCTTTTCAACATCGTGCTGGAAGTCCTAGCCAATGCAATCATACCAGAGAGTAAAACAAAAGGCATTTAAATAGGAAAAAAAGTAAAATTCTCCTATTCAGAGACAACATACGTACATAGTATACCCAAAAAAATTGACCAAAAAACTCAGTAGAGTGGCAAGGCACAAAATCAATACACAAAAATGTATAACATTTTATACACCAAAAATGAACAGAGAAGGGTAGAATTGAAGAAAGTGATCCCATTTACAATAGACACACACACACAAACACACACATACAAATATCAAATACATAGAAACAAATCTAACCAAAGAGATGAAAGATTCCAAGACTCCTACAAGGAAAACTATGAACACTGAAAAAGGAAATAAAAAGAAAAAAGAAAGACATCTCATCCCCTTGAATTGTAAGAATCAGTATAATAAAAATGTCAAGTCTATCACATTTTCTTTTTTTAAGAGAGATTTTTGCTATGGGGTATGTGCACTCACCAGAGACACAGAGAGAACAAAAGTGAGAAGTCACCCCCCAGGGGGATGGTTACACTGCAATCACTTCTCCATTTTCTTCCTAGGATTTGGGGCACACATGCACACATGCCTGTCATGACTTTCAAGAAACGGGGTCTGAGACTCAAAATGCTGTCAGCCATGTGGGAGTCCAGCGCCACACCTGCTGGCCCCATAACCAACTTAATTTACAAAGTCAGTATGATTCCAATCAATTTGCTGGTGAGGTTCTTCACAGACATAGAACAATCATAGACTATATCTGGAATCATAAAATGCTCCATATCATCAAGGCAATACTATACAAAAAGAATGAAATAGGAGGCATCTCACTCTCTGACCTCAACATATATTACAAAGCTGTGATAATCAAAACAGCATGGTACTGGTACAAAAACAGACACATAGGCCAATGGAACAGAACAGAGAACCCAGAGATAAAACCCCAAACATACAGCCAACTGATCTTTGACAAAGGGCAGAAGACAATACAGTGGAGAAAAGAAAGTATTTTCAGCAAATGGTACTGGAAGAACTGGATATCCAGCTGAAAAAAAAAAGTGAAACTATACTCCTATCTCTCACCATTAACAAAAATTGACTCAAAGTGGATTAAAGACTTAAATATAGCCTCAAACTCTAAAATTAGTGGTAGAAAACAGGGGGAAACTCTTGAAGACATCGGAGTAGGCAATGATTATTAAATAAGACTCCTAAAGCATAGGCAATAATCCCCAAAATAGACAAGTGGGACTACATGAAACTAAAAAGCTGCACAGGAAAGCAAACAATAAATAGACTAAAGGGACAACTCACAGAATGGGAGAATATATTTGCAAGTTATGCTTCAGATAAGGGATTAATATACAGAATATATAGGGAACTCAAGTAGCTTACCTGTAAAACAATGAATAATTCAATTTAAAAATGAGCAAAGGAGCTGAACAGACAGCTTCTCTAAGGAAGACATACAAGTGGCCAAAATGCATATGAAAAAAAAATGCTCAATATCTTTTATTATAAGGGAACTGCAGATCAAAACCAAGTAAGAGACCACTTCAACCCAGTCAGAAATAATAATTAAAATAAAATATAAAATAAAATAAAGAACAACAAGTTTTGGCAAGACTATGGCTAAACTACACTGTTGGTAGGAATATAAATTTGAATATCCACTGTGGAAAACAATAGGGAGATTCCTTGAAAACCTACAAAGAGAATTACCACATGGCTCAGTACTCCCACTCCTTGCTATTGACCCAAAGGATAGGAAAGCACTCAGTCGGGACACCTGCACTTCAATAGCTATTGCAGCAATTATACGCATTGTAAAGACAGGAAATCAACCTAAGTGCCCAAGAACTGATTTCTGGTTTAAAAAATAGTGGTACTGGGCTCAGTGGATGGCGTAATGGTTATGTCACTGGACTCCCATGTAGTTGACCATGGTCCGAGTTCCAGACCCGGTGGCTTGAAACTCACACCAAGCAGGTGTGTGTGCATGCCCAAAGTCCTGAGAGGAGAAATGGGGGAGAAGGAATTGCAGCATGGCCATCTCCCCTGGGGGAGAGGGGGGTGATTCTCCCATTCTGTCTCTGTCTCACCAGTGAGCGTATATGCCCTATAGCAAAAATCTCTCTATAAAAAAAATTGTGGCATATATACAGTATGGAATACTATTTGGACATAAGGAACAATGAGACATTGCCGTTTAACTTGAAGTGGTTGAATATGTAAGACTGCTAAGTGAATTTAAGACAGACTTTGAAAGAGGAACACTGAATATATACGGAATGTCTGCACTGTATGGCAAAATGTGAAGGTTTCAAAGATATGATGGTAGAGAGGATACGCATAGATAACAGAGAGGAGGGGAGTCCACGGAGAGAGTGGGTGGGCGGCACAAAGGGAAGGGACACCTAGCGAACCCAAGGATATAAAATTCTCTCTTGAAAATCATGTGTGTGCTAATATTCTTGATTTTTCAAATAAGTAAAATAACATAAATGATAAAAGATAAAAGAAGAAGAAAGGAGGAGAGAGAAACAAGGTAAGTCACTACATAGGGAGTAGCATTTTGTGCAAAGATATAAAGAGGACAAAGTAGCCTTGAGAATATTTCTCGGAAGAG